GACGGCTACGCGAAACTGCAAATGCAAACACCGAAACCAACTTATCGAAAGAAAGAGTAATAACGGAAAGCCTGTGTTATTCGTGGAAAGCGCTTAATTCGCACCGTTCATTAATTCGAAGGGTTACGCTTCTCTTTCAATATTCGGGTCCGTACAGACCCGGAAAGTCGGCGAATAAGATTTTTAGCAGAAAAAATTATGGAACGTCGGGGAATCCGTCTGCCGCTCTGATCGAATATAGCTGTCGACATATACATCGACTCTCTATCTGCGTATAATCTAATCAGAAGCGACAAATTACATCCACTGGTTGCAAATGTTAAAAACTCGATTCAAAAATCGAAATGCAATACAGTATATACATCTCCCGGGTCAGAACCCATCTGGGCCCGAAAGGCAACCAGAGAGCGGATACTCTGGCTAAGTACGCAACCAAAGATAGCAACAATACCGCGTATAACAAAATTAGTCAACAAACACTGCGGCAACTTTTATGGAAAGACACTTTACTACAGTGGCAAATCGCGCGGGATGGCGATACGCGGCACATAACCCACAGGTTTATTCCGGACTCGGACAAATTTATTAGTATAGACTGGTATACTCCCGATTATTGCGCTACTCGAATAGTTGCCGAGCGTGGCGAGTTTGCCAATTACCTTGTCAGGTTCGCAAATAGGACTCGTGGTCTTTGCTCTATGCGCAATGTCGAAGACGGACCCGAGCACTATATATATGATTGTACCGCTTTTGAACGCGAAAGAAACCAATTAAGGATACTTATCGAAGAACGGGGTATAGAATGGCCAGGCGGTCCCTCGGACATCTGGCTAAACAGAGAGATCTACAACTTCAAACAATTTGCTAAGCAAATTTACTGTTAACCGAACCGAGATCTACAGCTAAAGCTCCGTGTCGGGGCATTATCTCGCCCCTGGACTTTACGACATAACTACTACGCGCGAAAGAACCGTCACGTGTCTTCTAAATATATACGTTGCTCTTCTTATCAACTACGTATATTTTGTAAATATCTTAAATGTTTTTATTTTCGGTACACTTCCTACCAGTGTTAATTTTATGTAATTTACCTAATCGAAATGTATTCTAACGTATACTGTCCACTCGTTCCCCGGTAATGCTTCGTGCGGGGCCGGGGCGCGTACAATTAATGTACCAATAAAATATATTGAGCGAGTGAGCGAGTGATCTAGCAGGTGTTTAAATTCGATTGGGTATAGGGAGGTTACGAAAACCGAACGACCAAAGAAACGGCGAGATTTGTCGCGCTTATATCTCGTAAACTATAAGCCATAATTTTGTCGGATAGAAGGTTTACGTCCGTATTTAAAAAGGCGAGTAGCGCCAGGCAGCCAGGCGGGAAGGAGTAGCTTGGCGCGCGAACACCGAAAATGGCGGAGTTTAGACGTCGAAATCGGTGTCGATTTGTATAGAACGACGGGATGTACAATATTATTTAGCAACAATAACCGATAAAATAGATTTGTAAAGTAGCCGATAACTGCGCGGGTAGAAGAAATTTCGAAGGAAATACGAACAGCGAAGTAAGAGACGTATACGATTGGAAAGAAAAGTTTAAAAGGAATGAGAAAAGGCCAAAACGACTAATGCCAAACCGCGCGGGTTGTATAGAGAACCCAGGCCAATACTCGGAGCGCGCCGCGCCTAAACCCGTAGATTTTGGCTGGGAACGGGTTAACCCCTGGGCGACACGCCGGGCTCCCGTCACTGGCATGGCGGTACGTACTAGGGTTTCTCATTTGCCGGTCTTTCGCTCGTCCCGGCATTCCGGGACAAAAGCCAACCGTTTCCCGGGATAGAGTCAATTATTTTTAAGGTATACAAAATATCTCGAAATTAAACCATATAATTATTTTTCATTTTTTAAAGTAATTTTAAAGTTCTGTAACATCCAAAATCGTATTAGTAATGCCGTGTGAGATATATAATAAAAATTACCTTCGAATTACGTAGAAATTTTCACAAATAGAAAAAAATTTATTAAAGTTTGCTAGAAACTGCGTACAACGACAACGACAACAAAAATGCTTCGAATCCAGTTAAAATTTAAAAATTGAACTTAGACGAAACTTCTAACTTACAAGTAATTTTCGTTTTTTAAATAAAATATAATACAAAATATTGTAAACTTTTATAAGATTTTAAAAAGCAAAGACGATCGTTACTCCGATCACCCACTGTAATTCTGGAAGATTTCGAGATGGCGGCACTTCTTTCGCTGTGTAGTATTCTCGATTTGTCTACCTCGGCCACTTTAATAGCTGGATAATTCGGCAATTCGTTCGGCTTTAATAATCGGGTTTACGAAGAAAAGCTTCGTACTCATTTGTATCTTGGCCCAATTTGCGCAATCCGGCGTTACGCGGTTAAAAATTAAGACGGCGTAAGCGCCATTATTCCATATATTACGGGTTCCGACCAGTAAAGAATTTTCGGAGTCCCGCCACAAATAAGCTACGTATCGATTATCGACCATTTGTGACGCGCCCTAACGAGTAAAAACTAAAAACACTAATAGGTAGGTTTAAAATGAATAAATACAAATGTATTCCGACAGTGAATGAGATAATTACGCTTTTTATTTGCAAAATTTCTTAACCTTTAAAAATTAAAAATTGACTTTTTTTCTTATCTTGTGTTAACAAGATAAGAAAAAAAGTCAATTTTTAAGAAATTTGCGTCATTTCCCGGCTTAAAAAAAAACAACCGGGATCCCGGAATCCCGTTTGAGAAACGCTAGTACGTACGGTATCGTCGGACCACATTCGATAGGCTGGCGCTGTGGACGTCGACAATTAAAGCCAATTTAACCATCGTATTATTATTGGACTGCAATTTGAAAAACTTATTAAAAATTCCCACTGTCGTCCGTCCGTCCGTCCGTCCGTCCGTTTTTCCTTAATGTCGAGAACGGAGCGAGATGGACGAAATCCGAAACCGGCCTTACGGGCGGGAGTTCCGATTAACCGTATATTTTAAATGAAATAAATTAAATTTCGGCCCGTCGTAATAAATAACCGCTAGTCTATTGTGACGCGGCGGCCACGCCGGGCCGCAATTATTTATTTATCGAATTTAAAATATACGCTCCGCACCTGGGATTAGTAGCGTCTCGTCCCCGTACCTGGCGCTTTCTGGCTAGCCATAGTCATTTATTTGACTCCGTTCTGGAAATTTGGCAAAAATCGGACTGACGGACGACGATGGGAATTTATGTCTTGGATTTTTTCGAATTGCGGCCCAATAATTGTTTACGCGTTGGATACTTTTTACCATTATTTTTAAAAATGATTTTCTAGCTTTAGGTTAAGGAAAACCACAAAAGCGGTAACACTTATCTTGTCAAAAGTTACATGACCATTCGGTTCATTCCATTACCGATAAGTCGGTCCCCGCCGTTTATAAAACTACCAGTAACTTTTGCACGCGTAGAGGACGTGGTAAAAGGACTCGATCCGAGACTAGAACAATTACACCTCCCTCCCCAAATCCGCATCGGCACATTCGTACGTCGATAGAGTCGACGGATCTTATCGGCGGAAGGAAGACAAATTCGTCAACCCCCGCGTTACATTTAAATTATTTATTACTACATCGACTGCAAATTTTTAATCGTCTTTTAATATAAAAAAAAACTCGCGCCACTTCCGATCCCAGATTTCCTTATCCGGTGCCTATTGTAGTAGTGTCCGGCCCCCGTACATCGTACTTCGCCCGATAACAACGCAGCCACGCCGGTCGTATATAGCGCGCATCCGGCTAACTACGTTAACGGGATTAAGAACGGTCGGACGGACGACGGTGGGAATCTATAGAAAAAAATACTTAAATCGGTGTAGTTTGGTCGGCGCTGTACGACCAGTGGCTATTTATTGGGCGGCAATTCGATGCGCCTTCCCACGCAAAACGAGAAAATCAAAAGCCAGTTTTAATTTTGCATTAATTTCTCTTTTTTAATAGAGCCCATTGTTACCGGGAGGGTGGGCGAAATAATTTTCCGACAGGCACGCGCAGCGAGAAAAGCCAGTTACGCCAGCCACTGCAGTTGCGCCAGTGGAGAGTTCTTTTTTCCTTTCCGACCAGGTGGAAGGCGACCCTTTCTACGCCAGTGCGGACGACGTCGCTACCGAAACAAAAAGAAAATCGATTGGGCCAACATTTATAAATTACTCTGTACAAGTTGTTTTCGGTTAGCTTAAAATCGCTACGAAGGAAGAAAGCCCCTATTAAAGCGCGGAACGGCGTGGCAGAATTTGTCGGGTTTCCGCCTAAACAAACGCTTTGACCCGGACCCTTCGCTTCTCTTATCGATAACGGCCTCTATCGATAAACGTGGAGGAAACGAACGAAGAAACCCAAGTCTCTGGCTGCGGACCGTACCCGCTTCCTTATAGGTTTAAACCGTCGATTATTTTCTTCCATTTCGTTCGTAAAAGTCAAATGTTATCGAAAAGACGGACGGGAAAGTTGCCTCGGCTAGAAAAATCCACTTCCGGTCTTACTCCCCCCCCGGCGTCCACGCAAACCTCGAAAAATCAGTTTACTCTTTGACGCCAGCAAAGAAGTCGATGTTAAGGTTCCGCGGTCGGAAGGAGAACGTTTCACCTTTCTTCCGTCTAAAGGCCGTCGTTGCCGACCTCGTTCTCGACAAGAGGCGATCGGACGACGGCTTCCTCCTCCCTACCGGAAGTGGTAGGAGAGTGCCGATCGATTACGCTCTCGTTTCAGATACGGGTTTAAAGGACCGAGTCTCGAAACGACAAAAAGGAGGTCGACCCTTCGGACGTCTGCCTCTTTTCCACGTCGACCGCCATTCCTCTTCCGTTAAACCGTCGCCCCGGCACGCGTTTTCCGAAACGGAAGCGAATTCCGAGTGGACCCGGTTTTTTAAGGGCTACTTCCGGTAATCGAGCGGAGCGGAAGAGAAATCCACCCGCCGGGGGTAAAGCGTTCCTCACCTGTGACGGGCACGGAAGCTCTCCTGTGGTACGGGCGCTCTTCCGGTGCCGAGATTCCCGGGCTGCCGGAAAACGAGTAATTTGTGCAGAAGCGGCCCAAGTCTTCTATCTTCGGGCTGCGATCGGGAACGTCGGAACTGGGCGCCAGTCTGTACCTGCCGGTCACCACCCGTCCGCCGAAATCCGCCCTTCCGCATCGCCAGACGCCGTACAGCAACTCCAATCCGTCGGAACCTCGTCTTCGGTAACTCACCAGGCCCTTGGAGGCGGCCTCCAGGCCCCGCAGGCCGGTCACCGTCCCCGCCGAACCCAAGAGCACGCTCAGCACCTCTCCCGCCGATCGTCGACGGTCCCGTCCCTCGGGTCTGGCCCGGCTCCTGGGCGAAGAGACGAAAAGATCGGCGGGGAGCGACCCCCGGCGACCGGTCTGCGCGGCGCGAGACAACACCGCCGAAAATCCCGCCAGCAACGGCGCCCGGCCTTCGTCCTCCGTCCCGGCGCTCTTCTCGGGTCCTCCCGGCTCCCGTTTCCGGTCGACGGAGGCGGGTCGAAGATCCGGAAGTGCGAAACCTCGGCGTCCGTGCGGCTCTCCGTTCCACTCCAACCCCGCCGGATCCAGGGTACCTGGGGCGGGAATAGATTCCTCTCAGAAGCGAAATTCTGCATCCCACGGGTGGGAAAGTCTACTTACCGGAAGTGGGTTCGGAGGGTACCGACCACCTTCTGCCTCCTCCGCGAAGACCCCCGCACGCTTCCGCCTCCGACGGATAGGGGGCGTACCTTCCGGTGGCCACGGGAGCGGATCCTCTTCTGCGCCCCGCGCCGTAGACGGAACCCTTCCGGGAGTGAGCGGGAGAGTCGAACTCCTTGCTGGGAAGCTGGGGTCGCTCCTCCGACAGACTCCTGCTGATGCGCCAACACCAGGTGGCCGCCGCTTTGTCTTGGGGCGGAGTGCAACAGCCGTCGACGCACTCGTCTTCGTCCCCCGGCTTCGGCCGTCGGCCCGGTTTGAAGAAGCGCGTTTCCACTCGAGAGATGACCCTGACCCTGCGCAGTCGCAACGCCCTGTTGTGGTCGGTGAGAGAGACCACGCTGGTGGTGGGATCCAGTTCTTCCGTCGGCGTCTCCAGGTCCAGAGAGTCGCCGACGGGTTGGGTGAAGGGAATTTCGGACTCCGTCGGGTCTTCCGGGAACGGCGGCGCTGCCTCGTCTGCGGGAGACGGCAGATGGGCCTGGTCCCTCTCTCGCTCCAGCCTCTTCTTCCATCGGCGGTGGTTGTGGTGCAGGTTGAAGACCAGCTGGGTGGACAGCGAAGAGTCCAGGAAGCGGTGCCACGTCTCGAACAGCGGCGTCACGATGAACTTGAAGAAGTCTGCCGAGACAAAGTTGCCGTCAAGCCGGGCGGAAGCGACATTCTTACTTTAGACGCCACGCGAGCTGGACTCACCCGCTTGAATCTTGGCTACGGTCGTCCTTTGGCGGTCGAAAGTGGGAGTGGCCGGGAGATTCAGCTGCCTCTCGTAATCTCCTAAAGGTCCAGATCGAACGGTATATTATAATATAGGACGGTGCGGGAAAGAAGACGACTGTTAACCTTGACTGACCTTGTCGGTAGAATTCCTGGCACACCTGGTGGCTCCATCGCTGACTGATCGACCAGGGACGACAGGGATTACACAGATCCGCGCACTTGAGAGCTATCTAAACGGTAAAACGGTGGTCGCGCGTTACAAGGCGTCCACCCTCCGCATCCGAGATAAACAAATGCTTTCGTTTTTACCTGAAGCGTAAAGTGTCTGTCGTCCTTCTCCTCGGTGTCCAGAGTCTGGTTCTCTAAGTGTATCTAAAGAGAGGCTTCTAGATTAAAAGCATCCCCCGGGCCGTCGATCTTAAATTACGGAACGAAGGAAAGAAAAATTGGCAATTCTCACCTTGAATCTCGCTAGGAATTTCTGCTGGCGAGTGATGTCTGTGGCCAGGATCAGGGATCGGACCCGCCATTGGATGTCGTCCCTTTAGACAGAAATCATTCAAGAACAGCTGTTATCGGGAAAAATCACATTTACAACACAAACTTGAAAATATGTTAAGTTATAGAACACGTCTACCGCAAATGACTTCCAACGACACTACTACGACACAGAAGTGGGAGGCCGGAAATCACCGGTACTTACCACGTAGCCTTGTCCAAGTGGTCGAAGACTCCCGATTCCTTCAGGCAGGAGACGGCTATCCTCCAATGGTGGTTTTCCAGCACGGAAGAGCACTAGAGGGGAGAGAAGACAGGTCGGAAACGGCGTTTGGCGGGAGAGAGAACGGGGGGGAAAGACACTCGCCTGGTAGAGCTCGACCAGGTGATTGCAGGTGGCCACCAGGAAGGGCTGGTTGACGCCGGGATGGTCCAGGTCGTGTCCGACCGCGGCTATCAGGGCCGACATGGCTTCGGTGGGCGTCAGGTGGGCCGAAATCTAGGAAGAGATTTTCTTCCCTGAAACTCGGAAGAGGAAAACGCGGCCAAGGAAGAAGAGAAAGGTACCTTTTTCTCCGCCAGGAAGCAGTGCATGGCTTGAGCGACGTCCGCGGCGTGGACCGAGTTGTGGTACGGATTGTGGCTGTGGTACGTGGCTTCCATTATGCCTGCAAAATAACTTTCTAACTACAACTAAGGACGACGGATGGGAGGGAGGATCTTCCTTCCCTTCTCCCCTCCGTTTATTTACTTGTTGGCCGGAGCGAAGGGAGTCCGGAGGTTCTTTTTTCCCGCAGCGGAAGATCCCTTTTTGCTCCGAACGGGTTCGACCGCCGAGAGGAAAGGCGGTGGCCAGGGCCAAGAGGAAGAGGGTACTTACCGAAGCATCTCCAGACCTTGACGGCGTCCAGGCGGAAAGCCTCGACCAGTCCGTAGGTGCGGAAGAGGTGGACGAGGAGGACGGACAGGGACCGTCCTCCGGTAGCCACGTCCAGGTTGAAGGTGTTAAAAGCCCACCGGTCGCTGCGCGACAACAGCCTCTGTAAAGAGAGGGAGGAGTGAGAAGCGGGTGAGCGCGGCGGGGGCGGGAGGGAAGCCACTCACGTCGGTGGTTCGATTGTAGCAGGTGTCTAGGAGACAGAGTCGGTAGGTGCGCGGAGCGATTATCGGGCGTCCGGGTCTTCTCTTGCGCAGCGTTCGGAAGGGGGCGACGCCGGGCGGTCCGACCCGGGCTGCAAAGAAGCACGGCGTTAGCGGCGGGCTCGGGCGGGGGCCAAGGGCGTACTTACCCGGCACTTGTCCGTCTTCTCCCTCTCCTTCTTCTCGGTCTTCCGCCCTTCGGCCCGGTGAATCTGTACAAAGAAGGCCGAGGGATTAGTGGAGCGGCGCGCGCTCCGAACGGACGTAAGGCTTCCTCCTTCTCCTCCCTCCGGGCGGGCGGCGCCGGAGCGGAAAGAGGAGGAAGTTTCGGAAGAAGGAAAGAAACTTACCGTTCATTTTGATGCAGAGACAGTTTCCCGGGAGACGCTGGACCACCGCACTTCCCCGTCCCTGAGGAAGAAAGAAAAGGTGGTGACCCCGCTGGTCTTTCCGCATGGCGCCCGGCCGGCCCGGGACGGAGGGAGTTACCCGGGCCCCCGGTGGATTAAGAGAGGAGGAGGGTGGGACCGGAAGTTCTTCCTCCCACCCGCGCGGTAACCGGTTACTTATTTACGGGAAGAGAAAGGGGCGGTTTTCCTCCGTTTTCTTCGGCCGTCGGGCCGGTTCGAAGAAGCGCGTTTCCACTCGAGAGACGACCCCGACCCTGCGCAGTCGCGACGCCCTCTTCTAATCGGTGGCAGAGACCACGCCGGTGGTGAGATCCGCGGAAGGAAAAGGAAACCCGTGCGGCAAATTTCTTATTTCCGGCCGGAAGAGAGAAGAGGACGGGAAAAGGTTTTGTTTGGCTGGCGACAGCTTCGGACGACGTTCCGCGGTCACCGGGGGAGATTCTTTTTGTCTCCGTTTCCCACCGCAAATGGCAACTTCGCACTCTGCCAGACGCCCGGACCGGATCTTCGTCCCGCGGCGGCCGGCCGACTTCTGGCGCCGATAAGGGGAGGCGGGTGACGGAACGACCGGGGTCGGAGGTCGGCGAGAAAAGCAATTTTGTTTGTAAAGGAGGCACAAAGCCTCTTTCTTCGGCAGATAAGGGACGCCACTGCCGGGGAACAACGCTTCCTTGTCCGCAATGTTTTCCAACGGCTTTTGGATTCCCGGAGTCGAAAATTTTCGACTCCGGGTCGAAGGCCCGGTTGGACGGAAGGAACTTTCTGCCGAAATATTAAACCGACGGAAGTTGTCACTTTCCAGAGAAAATTTCAAATCCCAACGCGCCTTAACTTAAAAATGTTTCTCAATTTTCCACGCGCCGCCAAAAAGTTGACGCCCGTCGTCGGCTTTTGCGCCGCCCTCTTTTTAAACGTCGGCCGGTCTATGGGGATTTTCCGCCCGCCACCCTTGCCGGAATCGAAGGAAGAAGGTTTTGGTACCGGTGGACGACGGAAGCGCCCCTCTTTTTACCCCGTGTCTGTCCCGGACGGAGCCCGCGCATTAATTTCGCCCTCCGTCGTTATCGGCGTAATTCTCTTCCCGCTTCCCGACGGAAATCCGGGCGCGGGAACCGTATTTAAATTGCCGGGGCTTTATACTCCGACGGTCGAGCGGGTGACCCCCGCCGGTACCGCGAGAAAATAATTAAGCGGAGATGCGAAAAGGCGTCCGATAGGTAACCGTTAAATAAATGGACGGTCGGTCGGCCGATATTTAAAATCGGGCGGTTTTAACGATTAGATCCGTCGTCCGTTAAAATCCTTTCTTCGCGCTCGACTACTCGACCACCCGCAATCCCCACCGGAAATCTATAAGGTTTCCCGTTTAACCCCGATTCCGCCGGGTTATTTTCTTCTTTCTTCCGTCGGAATTGCCCACCCACCGCTCTCCTATTAAAAATTTACCGGCGCCCACCCAGGCCCCGGGGAAAATGGCGCTTTTGCCCACTTAATTTCACCCGGTTTGGCCTTTTTCCAAAATTCTACCCGCTTTTCTTTGATAGAAAAAAGCCAATTTTTAAAAACTAAAATACTACTCTAGCTTTAAAAAAGGAATATTTTTCAACCTCCGCGGGGATTTATTTATAAAATAAGCCCGTTTTTTGGAGATAATTAGTTTATAAAGGGTCCGGTAGGCGATGGGTGGTTAAATTTTGCTTCCGTTGGGCCACCGTCAAATATAACGATATCGTCGGCCGCAGTTCATATGGGAAAAGGCGTTAGTGGCGGTTTTTCCTCCCGGACCAACTCCGAAACGGAATCGAATGTCTATCGATCCGCCTGGCCACTCGACGAAAATCTGTCGCATCGACCGATTTAGGTACTCGACGCGATATCCCGTCACTTCGGACGTAAAAGACTATAGAATATTATAGAAGGAGAGGAGGCGGAGGGCTCGCGCGTCTAATTATAACTTTCGGGCCAATAATCGACTAATTGCCGGCCATCGATTGTCTCCCCTTCGTATTGCGTCATCCTCCGTAGCGCGATTCCCGCTTTCTGCCGGCTTCTTCGCCCAATTGTAGGCCAAACGTAACCGCTCCGCTCCTCTTCCGTCCGCATCCGGAGATTTCCGCTTTTATCCGTCGCCGTCGGTGACAAAACACCCGGCGCTCTTTCGCCGTAATGCGGACGTTGGACGGATGGTTCGTCTCCATTTAATTAATAAAAGAACAGAATAGGTTTTAAAGACGAGACGGTTGGCCCGGGAAGGCTTAGCGGAGAGGGAGGGAGGAGGGAAAGCTTTAAAATTACGGGCCGAGATATAAAATAACGGCGTCGGACTTACCTGAGCGTTGGACCCGACCACGGTCCAGCTCCTGAACCTCCTTCCCGGACACATACACGTAGCGTATGGGATCATCGCCGCCGATGCGCTACGCCCGCTTCACCATGGCAGCGGATTCTTTATTGCCGGTCGGCTCTCCTCCCGGAGCCCGTCCCGTCGTCGCTGCTCGATCTAGGTCACCCGCGCAGCGCCACCTAGCGACAACGGAAGAGAAAGGTCAAAGGTCGGTGGTTAGGGATGCCGGGCCGCCGTCCGACCTCTACCCTCTCCTGCCGATCCCGTCGCACTGCCCTACCACGTGGTACGCGCCCGGTCCACTAGCCAGCGGCCCGTGACGTCACAACCCAGCCATCGATCAATTTCTCGGTTTGTCCTTAAACAGAATCGAGACTGCGTATTCTCCGGAGGATCGGCCGCAGTTTTTTTAATATTCTTTTCCCTTATTAAACATTTATTTAAATAGAAATAAACGCGCTTCCGCCGGCGGTGTACCCCGCCCGCCGCCTAATTTCCACTTTAAAAATGACATTTTAATATTTTACCTTCCGTTAAGTTTTCTCCGTCGCATTGTTTCTTTTTCCGGTCTCGGCCACTTCCGGCCGGGAGAGGGCGGGTAGAAGGTCGACTTCCGTCGTTAAAGGCGGTAAGGAGCGAGATTTTCTCCCGACTTTGGTCCCATCCCGGGGGCCCACCTTCCTTCTCTTCCACGGGAATGGACCTTTCCGGTCGGCACGGCAACGCCCGTTATTTGGAAAGTGACACCTGGTCGAGCGCCGAGACGTCGACTTTCCCCGGCGGTGTTTTCGGCCCGACCCTCCGAGGGGCTCGGGACCGCCTTAAAAATGCAGCTAATTAAAGAAAATTTAGCCGGTCGACCGGTTCCGTAAAAATATTGCCATTCGCCAGTTAGTTAATTCGGTTAAATTAAAACCTCGGACGGGAATAACGGCGCGAGCAATTTGGTGGTTTCCGGGTGGGTTTGTATCTCCGGAGGTTATCGATTAAAAGGGTCGGCCATTCAATTTTATTAATAACCCACCGGCGTCTTCCGTACAAATCCGGAATTTGCCCGGGCCAAGGAGGAAATCTTGGTCCGACTCGTAGGCTAAAACGACGGGGTTAAGTTAGTTAATGGTTAAAATGTCTTATGGCGATTTTAATAAAAAAGTTTCTATCGAAAGTCTCCAATGTTTTCGACTAACTCCGCCGTTTTCTGCCGGTTATTTCTATTTTTACCGAGTAATAACTGCCAGATTCGATACCCTCGTCTTTTCTCCTCTTCTTTCCCGTTTTTAAGTCATTGGCTAATTTCGTTACGATAACGGAGGACGGACCAATATTTCCTTTCCGTTTATCCGCCATCAATTATTTTCTTTTAACCCCAAAGTCCGCCACCTCGTTCAAAAACGTTTTCGATCAATAAAGTCTGCGGCCTTAAGCTTCTGCCTTCTATAAATACACCCGTGATTCCAGTAAATTCTCCGCTCCCTCTTCTTCGCCCGGGCTAAAATTTTGTAGCCGCTGGCCCGCTACGCTCCACCCGCGCACCGCCGTCTATTTGCGTACGCTCCGCGCTTCCAAAAGCCTTCCGCCTCCGCCCGCGCCTTTGGCGCCCTTCCCGTCCTTAATCTGGCTCCGGTGTCCGCTTCCCGGGCCAAAACCACTTTCCCGCGGCCAAACTTTAATTACTATCCCCGCCAAGAGACGCCGGGTATGGGATGGGAGGCAAAAATTCCTTCGCCGTCCCAACCCGGGACCAGGCAGTTTCTTCCTCGGAACCCCCGTTAATTGGCGCGGAACGTACACCCCGTAAAGCGCCGATTTTTCGTTATTTCCCATTAATTAAACGGGGATTGGACTACAAGAAAAGGAGTCGGTGGCTTTCCACCGTCCATCTTCCGAGGCGGAAGGGCGGCGCGGGTGGTAGGCCGGCAATACGGTCCGGATATTTGTTAGAGACGACAGCGGTCTATCCGTTTCTTAAAGGAAAAATTCGGCCGAAAATCCCGGATCCGGCTTATTTTTATCGGCCGCCCGGTCGATGCCGGAAAGAGAAATCGATAAATTGGCCGGGAGAGAGGTGGATTTTCGTCGGCACTTAGCTAAAGGCTAGAAAAAGGAGTGGAAATAATTTCCGAGTCGAGCGGAAGCGTGGCGCGCGTAACTTAGGCCCGAGAAAATAAAAATACCGGCGTTACGCGTACCAGCGCGTAGTTTCTATTAGTAGGGCGGGCGGGAAAAGAAAAGAACCGGCGTTTCTGGTGGAGTTAACGGCCGAGTAATAGAGGAGAAGACTGGATTTTTTTAATTAAATACCCACGCCGTTGGTCAAAATTTAATATTCGGATTAAAAACCCAACGGTTAAATAATTGACGTCGGTCTCGGACTGGGTGGCGGACGGAAACGGAAACGTAATTATTTAAAGTCGTTGGTACCCGGCTAAGAAGGCGTCTGGTCCATTTACCGCCTTTTCCCTCTTTTTCGGTCGATTATTAATAATAAAATATGGAGACGCCGAGGCGAAGGTCGATCACCCTCCGGCACCGCTAATGGACGACTATTAACCGGGTACGTACCTAGGCCAGGGTAGCGTTCCGTCGCCTGGGCCGGGCAAATTTAATAATCTCTTAATAAAATTATTATAAAGTAATTATAAAGCGGCGCATATTTTAGCCGACTTTAAGACCGGACGACGGAGGCAAAAAATGTTTTTCTTATATTAAAATATTTCCCCGATAAAAAGTATTTTAAAATTAAAGAAGCGTCGCCTTACGCCCAACCGAGAATTAATTAAGTTATTACCGCGGTCGAAAGGCCTAATGGGCCCCGGGTATAATTCGTCGCCTTCCGGATAACTCCGGCCGTAATTTTACAAATTGTTGTCCGCGGTAAGACGACTCGGCCGCCACCTTAAATACAAAGCGTAAAATACGGCCAATTCGATACGGTAATGGCGGAGAAATGCGCTGGGACCCCGGTCCTATCCACCCGCGCCGTATTCACCGTGGAGGAAACGGTGACGGCTGGTTTCTTTCGGTACGAGTTTTCCGTCGTGGTCGATTAAGGATCGATCCGAGAATAAAATGGTGGAAAGGTCGTTTCCCGTTTACCTACAAACCCGTATTATTTCATTATTTATTTATCGAAAGAAAAAAAAATGTCCGGTAGACGATAACTGCCTCCCCGGTACGCCGTTAGATAATCGGTAAGCGGGGGCCCGGGAGGAGAAATTCCTTCCGCCCGTAACTGGAATACTCCGAGTTCGAATTGGAAGCGGGCAAAGGCGAAATTTTCACCGATTATCGCCCAGTGGTTCGCTATACGTCGCTTCTTTACTTAAGTCACCGGCCCTCTCCGGCCACTTCTCCTTACCGAATACGTTACGTCGTCGATAAGAATGCGCTGCCGGCTTTATCCGCGGCGGCTGTAATAATTACGGCAATTTCCCAGCCAAAAAGTTCCTTTTGGATTTTATCGAGGAACGAGTTGGCACGTGGGAGTCTTTATTTTTTTTCTTCTCTCTCTTCTCTTGCCAAATGATTGGCCCGGATAAAAATAAATCCGCTCTATTTTTATTTCCGTACTTATTCCTTAGCCGTATTTTTATATTCTACCACATTTAAAACAAAAAACAACCTCGGAATTACCTACTTTTCCCGTTTTTCCGCCCACGGAAGGCCAAAAACAAACGATTCCCCATCCCAGTCGGTTTGGAAAATTCGTTTTTGTCGGGCCGCGGAGGCTTTTATTATTATTTCGGGGATTCGGTCCGAAGGTATTCCCGGTTTTATCGGTAACCGGACGGTCCCTCTTTTTCCCTCCGAGTGGCCGCGGCCGGTAGAACGGAAGACGACGGTCCAAGTCGGAGCGCGTAACCTTCCGTCTCGGACGTACCGGTTTACGCGTGGGAAAAGGGCGGAGCGGGCCCCTCCCCTTCCACCGCCCTCGGCCTATCTAAAATTATGTTTCGACGCCATCGATTAACGGTCGACGGATTTCGTCCACCGTTAAGGAGCGACAGTTCGTCCGTCGATCGTTTCTCCATTTTTTTTCATTTCCGTCTCCAAAATCGACCATTAAATTTCTTCGGCTTTTATTACGGCCCAAGATTCCCCTTCCGGAAACGGAGAAGAGAAGAAAACGGCGGAATAAAATATTAGTTTCCGTTTCCGCCTCCCGGGTAAAACTGGCGCTGTCGCTGTTTATCGAAGGACGAGAAGTCGCTCGGTTTTTATTACCGGACCGAATGGAAACGCGCGGTAGTCGGAAAAGCGAAAAAATGGCCGGTCCGCGCTGCCCACTCCGTCGCGCCATACGTACCGCGCTGTAGTACTGTACGTAACCGCGGGAAGAGCCGGCGTAAGTAAGTGAGTTGTATTTCGTATTTCGGTCTTTTTCCTTTCGTCCGGGTCGGATACGAGATTCTCCGGAGGCGCGGCCGTTATACTTTTAATAGTAAGAAGGCTTTCTACGTATTTTCCGGCCGGTACGAAGCGATCCTTTTCAAAAACCAAGGTTTCCGGGTGACCAACGGCCGTAGAATAAACGAAAAGGCGCGGAGGCCGAGGACGGCCGTTATCGAGATTTAACGGAAAGCGCGAAAGACTAAAAATTTGAAGGACGCGGAGAAAGATCCGGTCCCCTCCCCGTCGGATAAGTACGAAAAGCCAGAAAGAAATCGGAAGCCGGGCGTCCGATTTCTTTTTTCTCCATTCTTCGGAAGATTTACCTTTCGTCCGGGTCCAGAAATTTTCTTTCCGACTTCCCCCCAGCGGTCGAGAACCCCGCCACGCCTTTAACCGGGCCCGGGGGGTGCGCCGGCGCGGAAACAATAAATTAATAAAAGGGTTTAATAGTCGGACCGTCCAAACCCTTATCGGCCTTTGGAAAAAATCGGGGCGGGGCGGTTAACGGGTGTTAACGGTCACCCGACTCGCCGGCCGAGGCGTAAGGAGGCGCGAATATTTCCCAGCGTTTATAAAGCGCCGCCGGTGTTATTTCCCACGTTTCTTCTCGGAGTGATTACGTCCGTCCGAATTGTTTGGCCGCTGTAATAACCATTACTGGCGCGGAATGCGACGGAAAGAGTCCAAACGGAGCCACTTAAATAAAAGCAGACATTTAATCGAGAGAATAGAAAGAAAGAGCGCTAAACTGCCGACCATCGTCGTAAGACGAAAGATCCGGCGCCAAAAATAAGTTGTTCTTCGGGAATCTTCTCCGCCCGACGTAAAGGGAGAACTTTTCCCGGAAACGGTTTAGGCGTTAGCGGGCGGGTAAAGTTTAAGAAACGAAATTCCCTAAGGAGAGAGTTAAGGATTATCCCGGAAAACTCCGCTTCTACCGTACTATTTGGGACGCGTATTTGGCGTTTTCGGGCAAAATCCAACATATTTTTAGACCCGCGTAAAAATTGTGTAATTAGTCTCGGAAGAAGGAAGGTAATTGTCGCAGCCGGCGAAAACGTTACTTCTTTTGCCCGAGCAACATCCGGCTGAAAATTAAGCTGGAGTGCGGACAGAAAAGGAAATCTTACAAAATACCAATACGATATTTACTAAGCGCTGGAAGAAATAAATGGCGTCGACCACTCTTCGAGTTTCGGCTCTTAAAATTATTCGATACGATTTAAGAGCTTCGTAAGGAGTAATTCGGTTTATAACAGAGAAGAAAAATAATAAACGAATGGACGTGGCCAAATAAGCCGCCTTTTTCTCTACCGGTCTAAGCGTTATATTCCTCATTGTCGACTTAATGTATTACCCCATATACTCGAATATTACGGTACGGCAGTTTTATTAAGCTGATTTGTCGGCGTACGCTGTCGATAAAAGTGAATTTATACATTATATTCCGTAGACGTCTCCAATTTTAACGTTTAAGTAATTTTTGAAAATACTTTTATTTTGTATTGTTTTTTTAAATAACCGCAATCGTCGTCGTTATTACTTTCCCGGCTGTTAAACGTGTAAAAATTATCCGATACAAATTTATATATCGACTACGTCATTACTTAGAGAAGTCTTTTAGCTTTGGAATAAAAAAGTTTCTACCTTCTATCTTGGTTGGAACTTTATTTATTAAAGCTTATGTTCCCAGGTCGAGCGATAACGCCGCAACTTTCGGCCCTACTCCGTTAACCGGCCCGCTCCCGGTCGGAGTCGTAGAATCTACCGACTCCGCAGCCCCGGGTTTTCCAAAAAAAAAGAAAAACGGAGTAACGAAAAGTCCGGAATCGTAAATCGTCCGCCGGTGGAAATGTATAAATTGTAAAGATCCGCGCGGAGTTTATCGCCCCCGAAAACCCATCGATTGGCGTTTTACGAAAATCTTCTTCGGACCGGGGCGGGACCGGAAGGGAGGTCGACCCGTATTTCGCGGTCTTTTTAAAATTTGGAAGGAGGCGCTTTAATAAGGAATGATTTATTCTGGCTTCCCGGCTTATGTCCGAAGGAAGGAACGGGCCGAGAAGGGGGGAAGGAGAGGAGCGACCGAGGTAAAGACGGAAAAAGTCCGCTTTCCATTTTTTCGGACCGCTCGGGCTCAATTATTTCTCGGTAATTACGAAAACGGTGGTTTAACCACGTTTCTTTCCGTCTAATTGTATTTTCCGCCGAGAAAAGTCCGGATTCTTCTTTCGGTTTCCGGTCTCTCCCGGCCGTTTTTTAAACCCGACGCTTTTAAAAAGGATAAAAATAGCGTAAACTTCATTTTTTGCTAGAAAGAGGAATGGCAATTAAAAGGCCATTTGTGAGAAAAACGTTTTCCAAACAAATTTAGTCTTTTTCCTCCTCTTTAAGAGTCGACGGGCGGAATTCATTCGTCTTCGGATCGGACGTTCTTCTCTTACGGGACGGCGCCCGACCGCCCGGGCCATTGTCCGGACGCGATTACGAAAATTTCCCATTCGATTAATTGCTGTTTCGTCGGCGGTGGTAAAAGAAGGGAGAAAAACGTAAAACTCTCTCCGAATGAAATTCTTTTTCCGTCTATCCACTGGCATTCTCCCGGCCAAGAATGGCCGCGCTCCCCCGGCGGAACCGCCAGTAGAAAGTAAATAACGAGAAATAACGTGGTAATCCGATAACTTGTGGGAATGTGTCAATATTCGTCGCCTTCCTCCTCGGCTAATCGATGAAGGTAAGGCAGTTTCTTCTAAGAATGTTCTCCCACACACGCGCGCGGATCTTTTCCAACCGGGCGTAAATGTTCTCCCACCTCACTTCCGTATACGGCACGTCCTAGCTTCCGTTACGTAAGGTCGTCGGCGGGTGGAAATCGTTTCTCGTATTTTTGGCACCTTTACAAGAATCCGCTTTAAAATAAAAAGATTTCGACCCGGTTAAGCCTCGGAGAAGTCAAAAATTAACCATATAATTTGAATGGGTAGAAGAACGGCGACGAACGAATTAGATGGGGGCACCGGCAGATGGCTTTATCGTCGTTTACCTTTCCCTACCCCTATAGCCCGGCCCCGGTGTATGCGGGAGGCCACCTCTCTTCGGCAAAACGTATTTGTTATAACATGTAAATTTATAATCGTTCCATTAATATTATAATTTCAATGCGGGTGCTTAGCCTATTTCGCTTTTCCACCCGCCTGGCTCGAAAACCTAATTTCTAATAAAATCGACCGAGTGTCTTTAAGAACACCGCGTTATTATTTATTTCGTACGGCTAAACTAAAATAAAATACCGGCCGGCCCGTGTCTAACCGACGGCGGTTGGAGCCGCCAGTTTCGAGTTCCGTTTTGCGTTTTATCTTGGGAAATTTTAGCGGAGAAAAATGCGGCGAGAAGAGCGTATTTTGGCCGAAAGTTGCTATTTAATTAAACGGGGGAAGATTAACCGAGTGGTCGGACGGAGACGGTTATTGCTCGGCCAGTTTTAATGGCGACTTTATTCCAAAAATAACCTCTCTTAATGAGTACGGTTATAACGACGTGGTTATTGGTCTTCCATTCCAACAAATGCCGTCCCCGCCGCAAAACGGGCGGCCGACCGCCGAAGACGATCTTTGCGCCAGTCTTCTAATATATCGCTGCCGATTTTCCGTTTTAATTATCGACTGTCGGTCGAGCGAGGGTGGCTGACGGACTGGTCGGACGGCGCTAAAGATTAAAGACGGGCTTCTACTCCCGCGGTTAGAAGCCGTCTCTCCGGCACTCCACCGGCGGCGGAACACGTCGGGTACCGATCGATACCCGCCGGTCGTCGACCCCACCCGGGGAAGGAGAGAGAAACAGCTTTTGCCGGCGTTTAAAGCGGGTTTCTCGATATAACGACGAAATATCCAGCGTTTTTTTATTCTCCGCGGACGGAAATTCTGTCGAAAAACCCACGGGCTTGGATGGATTTTGTCGGCAGCGGCCTTTCTTCCCATCGACTGGCGGCTCCAGAGAAACAAGAAGAATTTCTATTAATATTGGGCCGGCCGGCCGTTATCTTTTTGCAAATAATTTTACCCATATTCTTGCCTAAACCCGACGGAGGAAAGCGCCACTCCGGGAGAGGAAGAAGATCGATAGAAAGCTTTCGGGTCCAATCTCGCTCCCGGCAAAACATTCCCATCGACCCAAACCCGGAGGAGAGTCACGTTTTCCGGTAAAAGGGGAGGCGCGGCATCGATCGTTCCACTTCTGGACGAGTTAAATATAGAAACGGAAGTGCCCGGTGGCTACCTGAACCGAAAGCTCCCTCGGTTCTTTCGCTTCCGGTTAAGACTCCCTCTTTTCCACTCTGGCAATTTCTCGAAGAGACAAAAATTATTAAGAAAATAAAGAAAGACGGGCGGAAAGCGGCGGTGTTTTTGTCGAAAGGGAAAGACGGGAGGAAATTTTCGAGAAGGAAAGGGGTAGGTAGCCGACCGCTTTCCTTCTTTAACCGTTGTTAATTTGGTGGCGCGGATTCTGCTTCCCGCATTTTACGTCCGAGGTTAA